GAGAATCAAATCAATGACTGGGAACATAAGGAAGCCAAAAGCAACAATCAGAAAAACCAGGAAGAAAAAATCCAAAAAAAAACAAGAATAGTAGTGTAAGAAGCCTCTGGGACAACTTCAGGAGGTCCAACATTCACGTCATAGGGGTGCCAAAAGGAGAAGAGAAAGAGCAAGAAATTGGAAATCTATCTGAAAAAAATAATGAAAGAAAACTTCCTTAATTTGGTAACGGAAATAGACATACAAGTCTAGGAGGCACAGAGAATCCCACACAATATGGATGCGAAGAGGCCTAGTCCAAGATACATCATAATTAAAATGCCAAAGATAGAGAATCTTAAAAGCAGCCAGAGAAAAGCAATTAGTTACCTACAGGGGAGTTCCCATAAGACTGTCAGCTGATTTCTCTAAAGAAACTTTGTAGGCTAGAAGGGACTAGCAATAAATATTCAAAGTCCCTGTAGGAAAGCAGGGACCTACAGCCAAGATTGTTCTACCCAGCAAACTTACTTAGAATCAAAGGGCAGATACAGAGCTTCCCACACAAGAAAAAACTAAAGGAGTTTATCATTGCCAAACCATTATTATATGAACTGTTAAAGGGACTTAATTAAGACAAAGAAGATCAAAACTATAATAATAAAATGGCAAAAAATACATATCTATCAACAATTGAATGTAAAAAACTAACTAAGCAAACAAGAAAAACAGAGACAGAATTATGGATTTAGAGAGTATTTTGATGGTTTTCAGATGGGAGAGGGTGTGGGAGAATGGGTAAGAGCTCAGGAATAAAGAGGACAAATAGCTCCAGCTGGTGTGGCCCAGTGGCTTGAGTGCAAATCTGTGAACCAAAGGGTCACCAGTTCGATTCCCAGTCAGGGCAGGTGCCTGGTTTGTGGGCCAAGTCCCCAGCTGGAGGTGTGCAAGAGGCAACCAATCCATGTTTCTCTACCTCTCTTTCTCCCTCCCTCTTCTCTATCTAAAAATAAATAAATGAAATCTTTTAAAGAAGTACAAATAGGTAGTTATAGAATAGCCATAGGGATGTACAGTACAGTACAGGAAATGGAGTGGCCAAAGCACTTACACACACGACCATGTGTATGACATGAACAATGGTGTGGGGACTGCCTGAGGGAGTGGAGGGTGTTGGGTGGAGAGAGGCAAAGGGGGAAAAATTGGGACAACTGTAATACCATAAGCAATAAAACATAATTTAAAAAGTTTTTACCCCTATTTGGGACGCAGCAAGGGGAGGGGCAGAGTAAGCATAAAGAATGTGTTTGAATTTGAATTTTCGATGTCCAAGTGAGTGTGTCAGCCGAGGGGGTCTCCGCCCATGCCATCTCCCCACCATCCTCTCCCCTTTTGACCTTTTGGCGTGGGGCCGTCCTCAGCTCTTGGCTGGACCCCTCTCTCTCCTTTAGTGACCTAATGCCCACTTTCCTTAGTCCTCTCACACCGGTGCTCAGCCTTCCTGGGGACATTCATGCCGCTGCCAGACACGGGGACCACCTTTCCCTAGAAGCCAGGGCCAGCAGCAGAGGGCTCCAGAGAGCAGTCAGTGTCTGTAAGTCTAGATCGCGTCGCTGGTGACGTTGCTCAGCCTTCCAGCTGAACTCCAGCTTCTCCTCTGCAGTGTTCTCTGAGAAAGCTTCTTCTCTAATGAGCCCTCTGACAGGGGGGTGTGGGGGTGGGGACCGTGAAGCAGGAGGGCTGTCAGGACAACAGTAGCCCCATCTTGTTACCGGTTCCCAGCTCTGCGTGCTTGTCCCCATGAGTCGCATGGGTGTGTTTGGCAGAGCACTGCTGGAGAGCATGGACTAGGTGTCCTTTCCGACTCGGACCAAAGTTCACACCCTGTTGTCCTGGGTGGGATTCAGGCGGATGGGTCAGCAAGCTGCCCAGGGCACACAACATTTATGATGTGGGTTATGGGAGGAAGCTGAGAGGTGGGTGGAGGGTGGAGCCAGCTCCCTGGACCCTGTTTCCTCCTGAGCCCTTCCTGGGTTCCCTCTCTTCCCTGCAGTTCCCTGCCAGGCCACCGGGCCACAGTGCCACCTCTGGGCTGCTTGGCTGTAGGGTGGCTCCTTTCAAAGGGGCTGGCCTGGGGGGGTGGAGCAGAGCAGTCGGTGTCCAGTTCCCAGGGCCTGAGCCTGGGGGGCTGATCTGCCACACGGGGGCAGATCTGACGTTGCCCGGAGGATGGGCATCCACGTCCGCAGCCTTCCTGAAAATTACTCTCACAGGGTCCCGTCTCACAGAGGCTGTGAGGACAGGACCAAGAGGAGGCGAGTCCTGGACCAGATCTGTGCTTCCTGTTTGACAGAATTCCAGGAGCTTTCACCCAAAGGAGCCAGTCACCAGCAGATGAGAGCTGGGTGAAGGCAAATGCAGAGGGTACGGTAGAGACAGGCCTGAGTTTTGTTTCTTCCTGGAGAACAGTTCTTTCACGTGAGAATATGTGCAAGAGAATCTTCTCTCAGTTTTTTTTTTCTTTTTTAAATTTAATTGTTGTTCAAGTACAGTTTTCTGCCTTTTACTCCCATCCCAGTCTTCTCTCACTTTTAAAAAAAACATTGTGGTGAAATATACATAACATGAAATTTACCATTTTAATTATTTTTAGGTGTACAGGTCAGAGGCATAAGTACATTTACACTGTTGTGTGACCATCACCACCCTCCACCTCCAGAACTTTTTATCTTCCCAAACCGAAACTCTGTCTTCATTAAGCACTGACTCCCAGCCCTGAGCGGTCTGGCTCAGTTGGCTGGGCGTTGTTCCGCAAAGCCAAAGGTTGCCAGTTCGATTCCCAGTCAGGGCACATGCCTGGGGTGCAGGTTCGGTCCCTGGTTGGGGTGCATATGAGAGGCAACTGATCGAAGTATCTCTTTCACACCGATGTTCCTCTTTATCTCTCCCCCCCTTCCTCTCTCTTTAAAAATAAGTAAATAAAATCTTTTTAAAATACTGACTCCCCTCAGCTCCTGGTAACCTCTAATCTACTTTCTGTGTCTGTGAAACTGGCCGCTCCAGTGACAGCTGCAGCAGCGGAGTCACACAGCGTCTGCTCTTCCCTGAGCCTCGTGTCCTCGAGGCTCATCCGCGCCGTGGCATGTGTCGGAACTTCACCCCCTTTTACGGCTGAATCGTATTCCGCTGCATGTATAGACCCCCTCGTGAGTCCATTCACCCTTGGTGGACACTTGGGTTGTTTCCACCTTTGATTATTGTGAGTGACGCTGCTAGGAACCCGGGTGTACAAATACACACATGTTCAATTTCCTGCTCTCGTTTCTTTTGGGCATTAACCCAGAAGTGGGATTTCTGGATCGTATGGTAACTCTGTGTTTAATTCTCTGAGGAGCTACCATGCCGTGTTCCATGGTGACTGCGGCATTTACTTTCCCACCCGTGGTGCACAAGGGTCCCGAAGTCTCCGCATCCTCACTAGCCTTTGGCACTTTGGGTTTTTCTTGATAAGAACCATGCAGTGGGTATGAGGCGATCTCTCACTGTGGTTTGATTTGCATTTTTCTGGTGATCCATGGTGTTGAGCATCTTTTCGTGTGTTTCTGGTCATTTGTATATCTGCTTTGGAGAAATGTCTATTCAAGTCTTTTGCCCAATTTTTAATTGTTTTGTTGTTGTTGAGTTGTAGGGTTTCTTTGTGTATTCTGGATAGCACTCCGTAGTCGGGTAAGTGATCTCCAGATATTTTCTCTTCTTTCAGGGGCTGCATTTTCCTCCTGCTGAGTGTCATTGGAGGCCTGCGAGCCAGGTTTTGACTTGCAGTTGGGAGCTGGCCAGGCAGAAGCACAGTGAGGGTAGAGGCACTAATGCTTGAGGCTCCGGGAGGGTGCTCTTTGCAGACTCTGGTCAGCTTGCACGTACGCACGCACACTGTGTGAGAGAAACACCTATGTTAAATGCCCGTTTCCAAGCCCTCTTGGAATAAGTGTTATAAAAAGTCACAAAACTGGCCCTGGCTGGTGTAGCTCAGTGGATTGAGCGTGGGCCTGCGAACCAGACAATCGCGGTTCAATTCCTAGTCAGGGCACATACCAGGGTTGCAGGCCGGTTCCCTGCAGGCCAGTTGCCAGCAGGGGACGCACAAAAGGCAACCATACACTGATGTTTCTCTCCCTCTCTCCTTCCCTTCCCCTCTAAAGATAAATAAATAAAATCTTAAAAAAAAAAAAAGTCACAAAACTGATGACCTTGTTAAAACTTAAGAAGGGAGGAGGCAGCACTGAGCTTTCAGGGAGTTTCTGGCTGGTCCGTAAACCAGTTGAAGATCTTACATGTTAGGTAACATATCCAGCACTGATCCTATGAACTTCTTTTGGATTGACTTTTTCCCATAAAAGTGTAAAAAACTAAAAACTGAAAAATATAGCATGCATAGGTTCTGCAGGGAGCTCTCCAGAGAGATGGCATTTTAGAAATTACCTTTATTTATTAAAGATTTTATTTATTTATTTTTAGGGAGAGGGGAAAGGGAGGGAGATAAACATCAAGGTGTGGTTGCCTCTCGTGTGCCCCCTACTGGAGACCTGGCCCACACCCCAGGCATGTGCTCTGACTGGGAATCAACCGGCAACCCTTTGGTTTGCAGGCCGGCGCTCACTCTACAGAGCTACACCAGCCAGAGCTAGAAATTACCTTTAATAATGCTCCAAGCACACTCTAGTTGTCAGTACCTGGGGGCTTTGGTGAACCCAAGAACTCGGAAATGTATCGACTTGAGATCCACACAAAGCAGGTCAGTTGGAGAGGGACCTGCTGGACTCCACTTCTGTGCTGTCTTCCTGTCGGGCAGTGCCGCGGTGCCCAGGATGCCTGGTTCCTGGGCTGGAGCCACAAGAAAGGCTCCAGCTGGGGGTAACGTGCCCCTCCACCCAACACCACTATAGAAACTGAGCCCTGGAGAGGTGGGTCCTGGCAGACTCATTTCCAGGCATCGCCTCCAGCTGCCCTTTGCTTCCTTGCAGGGATCGACTACAAGACGACCACCATCCTGCTGGACGGCCGGCGGGTCAAGCTGGAGCTCTGGTGAGCTGGGCCGGGTGGGGTCGTGGTGCCTTGGGGTGGGAGGCTACAGCCCTTCAGGGTTATTGCTAGAGCTGTGGAAGCTGAGTGAAGCAGGTCAAGAATCCTTAGAGGAACAGGAAAGTAGAAGCCCTGTTTACATGTTATGTGGAATAGTTGTTTAAAGAAATCCTGTGTAAATGGGCAATGGATTCTGCTCTGTGAGGCAGAAGCTGGAAGGTCCAGGGCTGTTGTTCTGTTACAGCCCAGCTCCCTTTGCCCATAAAGACTCGTTTCCACAGTAGCCATGGCCCCTCTCCTCTTGCCCTTTAAGGGGCTACACATTAAGGAGCATTTTCCAGAACCTTGCAATCTAGATGTAAATTCCCATAGGTTTGGGGTTCTCCAGCTTGGTGAGTGACTCCCAGGGCACCCAAGCCCGCCAGGGTGGGCCCGCGTAGGCTGTGGAGGAGGAGGGAGAGTGCCTTGCAGGGATCGCACTGCGTGAGCCGTGGTTCCAATCGCATCTCACTGACTGTCCCTGTGTTTCAGGGACACATCGGGCCAAGGCAGGTTCTGCACCATCTTCAGGTCCTACTCCAGGGGTGCACAGGTAAGACCAGCGACACTGCAGGCGCTGCCCTCCAGAGGGACAGGTCATGCTTCTGTGCTGTCACACCCCACCTGTGTGCTCTTTGTAAGAAGTTTTGATGTTGGAACATCTGGCTTCCACTGGGCTGCCCTCTGAGTGAGGGGCCACAGCTGTCAGAGGGCACTAGGTCCCTGTGTCCCCACACTGTGTTTCCACTTTGTGTCCCTACCAGTTCCTGTGGCTGGTACTGAGACCCTGTCTTTGGGGACACTGCTTGGTCATCTGGTTCACCAGGAACCCAAAGTGACTTCCCAGTCACCCAGGATCTCCATGTGTGGAGCGAGGATAGACCTGGATACACCCAGGTCTATCTCAGGGCTGGGGGCTCCCCGGGTGGGCTGGGCTGGATTTCCAGTCAGGACTGTGGGACCTAAGCATTGGGGCCACTGTGGGAGGGGCTGCTCATAGAGGCAGGGTGTCAGTAAAGAGCAGGAAATGGGGGCTATCCCAGGGCTGCCATGGAAGTGCGACCAAGTTTGGGTGGGTGCGCAGGGGTGGGAGGGCACCCTGGAAGCTGTGCAGGGGCATTCAGCAGGAAACACGCAGGGCACTCCTGGGGAGACCATGAGGCTCGCTCGCTCCTCTCTGTGTCCTTGGGGTGCCCTGAGCATGTCTGTGTGCCAAGTGGATCAGTGTGTGACCTGAGGCTTGAAGGAGAGGGGAGAAGTCATTGCACGAACAGGCCAGCTGTAGGCCGGCACTGCTGTGTCAGCTGAGGGGCCTAGCCATCCTGTCTGTAACTCAGAGCAGGCCATGATGCCTCCCAGACTTCTGGAATTGCCCAGGAGACCCTGGTGTTCAGACCTGCCCGGCCCTGCTCTACGCACCAGGCACAGTTCTCCACTGGAGCATGCACTGGTGTTAGGGCACCTGGGCATGTTTCGGGGCCTCTCGCTGTGTGGGGTGTGGGCCTGAGGTCAGCATGGGATGGGGCTTCCTGTCACCCCCTCACTCTGGCTTGGGCTCCTTTTTGCCTTGTCAGTCAGGACTGGTGAAGTCTGCGGCTGCCTTGGCACTCTGCACTCCTGCTGATCTTTCTGCTGCGTGAGACCTGAGGGGGTTGGGCAGTGGCCTGGCTGAATCTGCCTAGGGGTTAACTCCAACCCGCATCTTCCTCCAGGGCCTGCCTTAGAAGGGGCCTTTCAGACATGGTGGGAGGCAGGGGGAAGCTGAGTGCGGGCTTCCTCTCTGCTGAAGCAGGTGCTGAGGACCCCAGGCTGGGCTTGGCAGCTCTTGTCCTGGGAGCTCCTACAGTGGTGTACATGGCGGCACCTGGAGCCCTAGCTTGATGACCCCCCCCCGTTTGTGCCGGTGTTTGGGGCCCTGCAGGGGCGGTGATTCACCGAGCAGTTCCACCTGGAGCAGCTGACCCTGAATAATCAGGACGCGGGTCACAGCTCGGAGGCGTCTGTCAGCACCAGAGGTGGGCTTAAGTTGCAGGAACTGCCTGTGGAACCCGCTTGCCTTCAAATGAGCATGTACTGTGGGTCCCTTTTTATTTTTAAAGGAGTGACTGCAGCCCTGGCAAGGTGGCTCAGTTGGTTGCAGCTCATCCTGTATACCAAAGGGTTATGGGTTCAATCCCTGGTCGGGTCGTGCATGCAGGAGGCAGCCGGTCAGTATTCCTCACATCAATGTTTCTCTCTCACATCAGTGTTTCTCTCTGTCTCTGTCTGTGTTTCTCTCTCTCTCCCTCTCCCTCTAAAATCAATAAACATGTCCTTGGGTGAGGATTTACAGAGAAGATTTACTGCGTACAGAATGAGAGAGCTGCGTTCCCGGTGGCAGTGCTGGGTGCCCCAAACAGCAGGGGGACCGAGTTCTGTTGTCTTCCTTTGGCTTCTGAGTATCTCCTCCTTTTTCTACAACAAACACATAATGACTTTGTAATAAACAAGAAAATAGAGAGATAAAGGGGCGGGAATGAAAGGCTAACAGGAAACGTCAAGAGGACACTGAGACTGACCCTGAGCAGGCTCAGCTGCCCGCGCACGCTGGGCACGGACATGGCTGGGCGCAGACGCTTGCTCGCGTTCGGCTAGTGAAGGGCACCGGACCAGCCCGGGAGTCTGCCAGAGCAGGGGCATCCAGCCTTTTGGCATCTCTGGGCCGCACTGGAAGAAGAGTTATCTCGGGCCACACATTAAATACATTGCAACATGTAATCACACACACAAAAAATCTCATAATATGTTTTTAAATAAGTTTATGATTTTGTGTTGGGCTGAGTTCACAGCCATCCTGGGCTGCATGTGTCCCACAGGCCATGGGCTGAACACCCCAGGGGAGTGTTTGGGGGAAGCAAACTCTGTGTCATCACATCCTGATTCTCTCCAAAGCATCCAGTCCAGTCAGTTGTGCTTGTTGTTGCCCTAGCTTTAATCCTGAAGGTTCTTGTTGACTCTGGGCTGAAGGAGCCAGGTGCACATCTCAGACCTGAGCGGCGAGTTGGGGGCTCTGTGCTCGAGGCTGCTGTGGGGGTGCCCTTACCTCGGTGTCACTGCTTTGCTGTCCCGTTTCCAAGCTGCCTGACAGTGGCAATGCAGAGGTAAAGGCAGTATCCAGAGTAGGCGCTGCCCAGTTTTGCTGCTCTGTGTGGCCCCTGATGGTAGACTGAGGAGCAAGACCGTCTTTCCCAGTCCCTCTCCTACCCTTGATTAAAACTAGAGACCTTTTGGGTCCCTCAGCCCAGGTCACAAAAGCTACTGCCAACCCCTGACTGCTGTCACCTGTTCAGCAATAGAACTGTCTTGTGGTTCTTACCATGAGAAATAACCCTTCTGTCCCTGACCTCCTAGACCAGGGGTGTCAAACTCATTTTCACGGGGCGGGGGGGAGCGGTGCACATCAGCCTCGAGTTTGCCTTCAAAGGGCCGAATGTAGTTTTAGGACCGTATACATGTAACTACTCCTTAACTAGGGGCAAGGAGCTCAGCGCTGCCGCCGGGTAGAAACAAGGTGCCGGGCTGATAAAACAAGGTGGAGGCCGGATTCGGCCCATGGGCCTTGTGTTTGAACCTGTGTCCTAGACCCATGGCTCTTGTTTTCTGTTGCCGAGGTCCAAGGTGGCCACTCCTGGACCTGGGAGGCCAATGCGTCTGCTGCTGAAGAGAGCAGGTCCCCTGGGCTCGGTGTGCTGGGAGAGCTGGCAGCAGGGCGGGTGGGGGGTAGCACGTTCTGCTTAGTTGAGGCTCTGGGGTCTGCTGGAAGAGCAGGGCCAGGCTCTGGTCTCCTTCTGGATAGAGAGGGATCAACTTGTTCACACAAAAGGATTCATGTGGGAAATGGTCTGGGGTGTGCATTGTCCGTTCAGTGAGTATTAGGACACCAGCCGCATCTGGTCACTGACCGGGTGGGCGGGTGTACGGGCCAGGGGCCGTTGACAGTGGCTCCTCACCTTCAGTGCATCGCTTGCTCCTGGGCAGGGCCCGGGTGCCTTTGGGGCGGGTCTGGAGGCCTCCACTCGTGCCTTGTGTCCCTTGGGAGCTGCCATACGGGTGAATTCACGTGCCAGAATCGAACTGCATTTTTTTAAAAAATGCACCTCTTTTGGTAGAACAGGTGTATATATGTTTGTCCAAATTCAGCAAGCTGTTCATACTTAAAATCTGTACATTTTCAGGTGTTTAAGCTATAGCTTCATAAATAACTTTGACAACAAGGGTACCCACTGCTAGGCCCAGCAGTTCTACTTCTTACAGGTCGAGCTATATATACTCAGAGGTTTTTACTAAATAAGGGGAAATTACTTGAGAGCCAATGGCAGCACTGACCAACGAGCCTGGCAGGACGTTCACCTGTGGGGAGGGGCCCGGGTTGGGGGCCCAGGAGGGGCTGGGCGCTTTGCTCTGTGACCCGTCCGTGTGAGGAACGAGCAGGGCTGTGCAGAAATGTCAAGAAACAATGGCGGGTTATTCCCGGAGGGGTGGGGGGACTTGGGGAGTGCATGAGCTGTTATTTTTACTCCAAGAACACTGATTTTTTTTAAATGGGAGCATGTATCCCTTATATGATTTAAAAAGTAGAGTGTAGTGAGAATCATTTGCCCTCCTGCCTCTCTGAGACAGACGAGTGATTCCCATGGGGACATGGTTCTGGTAATGAAGACCCTCATTTTTGATTCCCCTGCTAAATGCATGATCACTGTGGTCCCTGTTGCACGTCATGAGCTCTGTACCCTTCCTTCCTGGGATTGGTGGATCTGGGGGTGGGGTCTTCCTCTGTCATAACCTCAACCTGGTATGTGGCAGCCCAGAGGGGCAGCCAGGGTGCAGCTGAAGCCTGGTCCTTTTTTAAGATTTTATTTATTTATTTTAGAGAGATGGGAAGGGAGGGAGAGAGGAAGAGAAATATCCATGTGCAAGAGGTACACCGATTGGTTGCCTCTCACACACCCCTAACTTGGGGACCTGGCACACAACACAGGCATGTACCGTGACCAGGAATCAAACCAGCGACCTTCTGATTTATACGCTGGCACTCAATCCACTGAGCCACACCAGCCAGGAGTAGTTTAAGCTTTTAAATGTCACATAGGTAAGCATAAACAAGAAGATAAACCCTCATTCAACCTTTGAAAATGTGGTTACATCCTGGAAGTGTTTTCTGTGCAGCGCGCTGGGTGTTGACCTTTGTTTCGCAGCACACGCTGTGCTTGCTGTCCGGGGTGCGCCTGCCCAGGGCCGGCGCAGGCGCTCTGAGCTGCACCACTGTTACCCACATTCTTTTTGAGGCACGTCTGCGCCTTGGCTCCCTCGACAGCCCCGACTGCACATGCAGTTTGTTTCACGCTGTGATGAACAACTGGGAGGGCTGGTCTTTGGACCCGTCCTCGTTGATTTCTTAGGAGGAGACTTGGAGGGTCGGTGGCACGTCCCCACCCACCCCAGACCAGAGGCCTTTGTGCCCTAGGCAACAGGACTCACTCCTGCTGCCCCATGCTTCCCGATCAGTTTTACTCTGTCCTCGCCAAACTGGTTTCTGCTTCTTCAGGTGGGCTCAAGGGGGTCTTTTCTTCCAGACATAGCCCTTCCTCCTGGGGAGGCGGGTGGCTCAGCTTGTTCTGTATAAGGCTTTCCATCCAGAGAGCAGGAGCCATTGGGTGACGGGGGTTCTTAAAGTAATTGCTACATCCCTTTTAATAAGACCTAGGGCTTACGCTTAAGTCTTCCAGAATTTGAAGGACATCTTAAAGGGGAAAGTCTTTAAAATCACGCACTTTGATATGGACACTTGCTGTGCCTTCCACCTCAGCTGCATTCCTTTCCTGCCTGTGTGTGATGGGGACAGGCTGAGTGAAGACAGGGTGGGGGGCGGAAGGTGTGAGCCTGCTTCCAAGTGGAGAGCAGGGCCGGGGGGGGGGGGTCTGGGATGCTTGCTGGAGTCACCTTCTGGAGGCCTGTGACAGGTCACCGCTGAGACATTGAGGGCAGTTGGAGACAGCCCAGAGCTGAGTTCCGAGTTATTAATCTCTAAGGGATGTGATAGAAAATGTGATAGAAAAGTCCCATAGGAAACCCTCTGCTGGCTGGTGGGGCTGCACACGCAGCTGCCTGAGTGACTGATGTCCTGTCCTGCAAGTCTTCTTGGGAAACTCAAATACCTTTGCTCAGCTGCCCCAGCACCCCAAAGCAGAGTCTACTGCTGGACAAAGCGTCAGGGACGCCGTTCGCACCCGCCTGCCAGGATTGTCCACAGGGTCTGCCCCTCACCCAAGATCTGTCGCGCCTCTTTCAGCTCCCATGACTTCTGAATGGTCACAGGATAGTACTTATGCTGTGCTTGGAGGAAAGAAGTGGAAAAAACTGTCAGTTCTGCCCCAGCCGAGTCAGCAAGGAGAGGGAGGAGATAGCATTGAGCCTGTGACATTCTGACCATCTATGACATTGCTGCCATCCACATGAGGGTGTCCAGGGTCATGTAGGCCTGGCCACGGCGAGGAGACACAGCGCCCAATACCAGAGACCCCTCTTAAATATCACCGGACGCCTCAGTGTGTCGTCCATACTGCTGTGTGTTAAGTAACTGGTATGATCTTCTGAAAGCTGTCTGGCTGTACCAAGTGTCCGCACCCTGCCTCTACTAGGAGTAAGGGAGTGTGTCCCTGCGGGGGCATTGTGCCAGAACAAGGGGCCTCCATCTGGCCAACCCCTCAGCCTGGTGACACCTGCGTCTTCCTTGCAGGGGATCCTCCTGGTGTATGACATCACCAACCGCTGGTCCTTTGATGGCATTGACCGGTGGATCAAAGAGATTGATGAGGTAGGTATCCCTGCAGACACCCCCTTCCATGCGCACCCCCTTCCCAAGGCACGTGTGCTCCCGTTCCCCACTGGGGCCTCTGTGGCTCCCATGTGCTGCCTGTCCGGTGGCCCCAGCTCTGTGCGTCCTTCCTTGCACTGATCACCATGGCACTTGAAGGTCATGCCTCAAAAAGCCATGGTTCATGGGTCTCTGAGCCCTACCTTGTCATAGAATCAGGGGATGGGGACAGCTCAGAGGGGGCGCGTTCTGCATTCATGCCTGTGCTGAGTCCTCTGCCCCCTCAAGCATGCACCTGGGGTACCCCGGATCCTGGTTGGGAACCGGCTGCACCTGGCCTTCAAGCGGCAAGTTCCAACAGAGCAGGCACGTGCCTACGCAGAGAAGAACTGCATGACCTTCTTCGAGGTCAGCCCGTTGTGCAACTTCAATGTCACCGAGTCCTTCACTGAGCTGTCCCGTATCGTGCTCATGCGGCATGGCATGGAGAAGATCTGGAGGCCCAACCGAGGTGAGGTGCAGCCAGGGGGGCTGCTGGGGCCTGAGACCTGAGCGTTGCAGGCAGTGGACAGGTGACCCTTCAGAGGTTGTGGTCCCTCCAGGTGTCCAGGCTCCCCAGATGTAGAACTTCACAATGTACCGCAACTGAACCAGCTTCTGTCCTGCATGTGCTTTGAACGGGGGCCCCAGAGTTATGGGAGGGAACTGTGCATTACATCATAATGATGTCCTCATGCTGGGGGTGGGTGCTGTGGGCCCTAGTGTGTCCTAGAGCAAGCAGGGGGTGGCTTCTAATCCCTGTGTACTACCCAGTCCCTCAGGCTCAAGCCACATCCCCCAGAGGTACTAGTGTTCTTGGAAGCTTCAGCCTCCTGCGAGGTACTGAGGCTGTCTTTAGGTGTGGGTGTGGGCTGGCTAAGCCCTCAGAAGTGAGGTCCCAAAGGACACTTCTCAATAGCAGCTCTAGGGAGACAGCATCAGCTCTAGGGCGCCATCTAGGGGCTGCTCCCAATGGTGCCTGGCACGGACTGGAGTAGTGGAGCATCCAGTCTTGGTCTGGAAACCTCTAGCCCCCACTGAGCGTCATTTGTGCTCATCCGGACAGATGGCAGTCGGTTCCTCAGTGTTCCCCCCACCTTAGGTCCTTAGGCTCCGGATCTCTTGGCACCTCACTGCCTTTCCCTGCAGTCTGAACCCCCCTCTTCTGACCACCCTCTCTGTGGTCTGATCCCCTCCATAGTCTGATCCTCCCTCCGCCTGACACCTTCCCCATCACTGACCCCCTTCCCCCATGGTTTGACCCTTGTCATCTGACTCCCCCTCTCTGACCCCCTTCACAGTGTTCAGCCTGCAGGACCTCTGTTGCCGCGCCATTGTCTCCTGCACCCCTGTGCACCTCATCGACAAGCTCCCGCTGCCCGTCACCATCAAGAGCCACCTCAAGTCCTTCTCAATGGCCAATGGCATGAACGCCGTCATGATGCATGGGCGCTCCTACTCGCTGGCCAGTGGGGCAGGGGGTGGCAGCAGCAAGGGCAACAGCCTCAAGAGGTCTAAGTCTATCCGCCCCCCTCAGAGTCCCCCCCAGAACTGCTCCAGGAGCAACTGCAAGATCTCCTAGCAGGGCAGACAGATGCTGCCCATCTGGACATGCTCGGGGAGCGAGGTCACAGGCTTGGGGAAGCTCCTTGCTGAGTGCTGGGACAGCACCGTGTGCAGGGAAGACTCCTGCCACACGACCGCTCCTGGGAGTGTAGGGCACACCTAGTAGGCAGGTGGTCTTGGCCAGACAGGCCCATAGGACAGCAGAGGCCGAGCTCGGAAACAAGCCCAAGTCCCCACATGCTCTACAGGTCCCACCTCAAGGTCCTGCGGGCCTTACTCACTTTCTTATTTATATAGAAGATATTTCACCACTTTTATACCTTTTTAAAGGGCCAACAGGGAAGCCTTAATGCAGCCACGGGGTGAGCTCATGTTTGCTTGTGGGCATGAACTTGGGGACATATGAGATGGTGGGACTGGAGGCAAAGGTGGGAGGAAGGAATCTGCTGTCACATACACTTCACTTGGGGTGTGGGCTATGTAGGGGCCAGTGGGGACACATGGAGCTTTGGGCAACAATCTTGGACCCTGCTACCTGTGCCGGCCTCTGAGCATGGCGGCTAGTGTGCTTACCACACAGTACCAGGCAGAGGTGCAGGTGTGGGCTCAGCAGTCTGCACAGTGGGGCTGCAGCTTCCTGGGTGACGTCCTGGAGTGTAGCGGAGCCATGGATTCCAAGCAGAGTGTCAGTGTTTCTGGGAGAGCAGAAGTGGGGTGTACCCCACATCCCTCTCTGTGTGAAGAGATGCAGAGCTGTCTGTAGATGATAAACACTCGAGGGGCTGCCAGGCCCTGCAGGTTCGGACCGACTCACAGCTCGCTTGCTTCCCGGGCCGCCCAGGCTCACCAGCTTCTGTTCCCTGACCTTGGGTGTCACCCCATAACCTGCTCCTCGCCCAGGATTGCCCCTCCTTGAGGTCATATGTCACCAGAACCATTCTGACCCAGTTCTTAGGCCCCTTGGAGCAGTGGAAGCAGGGGACCCTCTTCTGACCCGGCAGCCAGCCCTGAGCTGGGGGCCTGGCCTCCTTCTGCCTGCCTGGCTCATGACATGGCTGCTGGTCACTGGTGCTCAACTCTACCTCCTGCTGGACTCTCCCTGGGCCTGAGACGCCCTCACCGTGGGACTCCTCTGCAGTGGGTGCCCTGGGGGAGCCCTCCCCTGCTGTTCCCTCCCCCGGGAGGCAAGTTGGGCAGGGGCTGTGGCCCACATGAGCAGGGGTGCCTGGGGACCCTGACCGAGACCTGGCCACCAGCAGGGTCAGGCAGAGGAGCTCCGCCTGTCCTGTGCTGCCAGTGGAGCTCCTTCTGTGGACTTTGAACCAAATAACCTGGACTTTATTTTGAGGGTGTGGACGGTCCTGCGTTCACCACATAAACACTACCCTTTGCTGCTGACACTGGCACCATTCCTGAGCTCATTTGGGACTTTTTTTTTCTTTGTACAGTAAATGTAACTCAGCTCTGACCTCCAGGCTACATTTTATGTGAATTAAAGTCTCTGGTTTTATCTGGCTGGTGCGTTGGAGGTGTGATGTGGTGGGTGGGTCTGCATTCTCACACGACAGGTCAGGTCTGGGGCTGCTTTGCGGATCCCCCCATTGCCCGTGACCGGTCTGGCCGACTGGTGCACACCCTGGCCATGAGGGCTGAGTGGCTGCTTCAGCCTCCCAGTTACAGGTGAGCTATGTTTCTCAGTAGGTTAGGCAGGCATCCCTCCCAGCCAGTTCCTCCGTGTTCAGTAGTGAAGCAGGTGGCTCGGGGCACGGTCTGCTTCCTGATGTCCCCAACGGCTGGAGCCTGGGATCTTGAACCCTTGCTGAGGGCCTTGGTGGGGCCTAACTGCTGAATTCACTGCTGCCTGAGAGCGTGGTGAACGTGGACCCAGAGTTGCAGGCAGTAGGCTGGCCCTGAGACTTCAGCCCTGAGGAGTGGGCCCTGGGCTATGCTGGATGCCCTGGAGGTCAGTGGGGATAGGGGCACCGTTGTACTGAACCTTACCCCCATACTCGAGGCCTACTCAGGCTACAGCTTTGTGGGAGGGTTCTGGGCCTTGAGCTCTGTCCAAAATCTAGCCAAGTGCCCCCACCCCCACGCCTGAGGCCCCTCTCAGGGCAGACCAGTGGTGTCCTCTGCACCTGGGGTGTCTCTTGGTCTTACTCTGACGAGACCAGGCTCTTACTACCCTGCTTCCTGGGTCAGAAGGTCAGACAGGGTCTGGGGATGTTTTCCACCTCAAAGCAGATGCTCCTGGGGCCCCAGACCCCAGGGAAGGGTTTGGAAGGGCCGATTGGCGGCCCGGTGTTTGATCTCCCTTCCCCCTCCTTCCGGGTCCTGAACCCAGGCTGGGAGGGTCTGCGAGACCGCTTTGATCCCCAGGGCCCAAGGCCTGGATGGAGGAGGGCCTCCGGTTACAGTGTTCCCTCCCCTCCCCACTCCGGCCACAGCCGGCCCTTCTCCGCCCCTCAGTAACCTTCGTGGCCAGTGTCTCCTTGCTCCAGGGCCTCAGCCCCTCCCCCAACCGACGTCCCTGCCCTGGGTTGATCGGAGGGGCCAGGCTGGGAAAGGGGTCGAGCCAGAGCTCAGAGAGATTTGGAACCTAGCCAGCCCTTCGTACAGGGGTGTTGAGAGCATCTGCTTTGGGCTGAGACCTGGGGACCAAGGGAGAGTCTGGAGGATCGGCTAGGGGCCCACAGTCAGGGGCGCTGACCAAAGGCCTGGGAGGGTGGATGCCTGAAAGCATCGGGCAAAGCGGGGCCCGAAGCACTGGCAGCCACACACCCCTGCCTCTGGGCCAGTGGTCCCCATGTCAGCCCCGAGGCTGCTCCTGCCGCTACTCCTCGTGGCTGGGCTGACTTCAGGGGCCAGCCTGCTGCAGGGGCCTGGAAGCCACCCAGGTGTGTGCCCCAACCAGCTCAGCCCCAACCTGTGGGTGGATGCCCAGAGCACATGTGAACGCCAGTGCGTCGGGGACCAGGTGAGTGTGGGCACCATACCCACCCACTGGGTGGGGGTTCCAGGGAACTAGAGTGACCTGGGGGAGCCCAGACCCTGCCCTTGCCCCCAGCTTTTGCAGTCCACTTCCTCCTACACTCCTGCAGGGGTTTTAGGTCATGCTTCCTATGAGGGTCTCGAGGACCCCCAGTCTTTGCCCTCATCACTCTCCAAACCTGCCCGCCCCTAATTAATGAGAAAAATAGCTTCTGAGTATCTTTCCCCCTCCGTGCGTATTGTTTTCAACTGAGTTAATCAGACACCACCACTAGACTGCGCACATTCGGTCTCAGGACTACCCAGGTAGAAGGCAGGGGCCACCTTTTGAGGTCCCGCCTTCACAGCCTGGCCATGCATCCCCTGAAGGGGCCTTGAACATGCTGCCTGCCTTCCCTGGGCCTCGGGTCCTCACCTGTACTGAGAATAATAACGAAGCCTGCTCTGGAGGCTGGTCTGAGGGCTCACCGAGATGACACACAGGATTGGTCAGTGAGGCAGCTGGAGCTCATTGCACTGGACATAAAGCACATTTGTACAAACCTCAGCTTTCCAGAGGGGAAACTGAAGCTCAGGGAGACACAGTAGGGCCACACCCTATCTGGCAAAGCCAGTGCACTGGGCAGGGCTGGGGGTGCCTTTGGGCCCCTGCTGAGCTGCCCCCCACCCTCCAGGACTGCTTGGCCACTGAGAAGTGCTGCACCAACGTGTGCGGGCTGCAGAGCTGTGTGGCTGCCCGCTTCCCGGAGGGTGGCCTGGCTACACCTGCGCTGGTGGCCTCGTGTGAGGGCTTCTCATGCCCGCAGCAGGGCTCTGACTGCGACATCTGGGACGGGCAACCTGTGTGCCGCTGCCGTGACCGCTGTGAGAAGGAGCCCAGCTTCACCTGTGCCTCAGATGGTCTCACCTACTACAATCGCTGCTACATGGATGCAGAGGCCTGCCTGCGTGGCCTCCGCCTGCACGTCGTGCCTTGTAAACATATCCTCAGCTGGCCACCCAGCAGTCCAGGGCCACCTGAAACCACTGCCCGCCCGACGCCTGGGGACACCCCAGTGCCACCTGCCCTCTATAGCAGCCCTTCTCCACAGGTGGTGTATGTGGGGGGCACTGCCAGCCTCCACTGTGATGTCAGTGGCCGTCCACCACCTGCTGTGACCTGGGAGAAGCAGAGTGACCAGCGGGAGAACCTGATCATGCGGCCAGACCAGATGTATGGCAACGTGGTGGTCACCAGCATTGGGCAGCTGGTGCTTTACAACGCCCGGCCCGAGGATGCTGGCCTCTACACCTGCACTGCACGCAACGCTGCCGGCCTGCTGCGGGCTGACTTCCCGCTCTCCGTGGTGCAGCGGGGTCCAGCCAGGGACGGGGCCCCCAGCACCCCTGCTGAGTGCCTGCCCAGCACACAGGCCTGTGCTGGCCCGCTCTCTGGCCGTGTCCTGTGGCACTTTGACCCACAGCGGGGTGGCTGCATGACCTTCCCAGTTGGCAGCTGCGATGGAGATGCCCAGGGCTTTGAGACCTATGAGGAGTGCCAGCAAGCCTGTGCCCGCGGACCCGGGGATAACTGTGTGCTGCCAGCCGTGCAGGGCCCCTGCCAGGGCTGGGAGCCACGCTGGGCCTATAGCCCGCTGTTGCAGCAGTGCCACCCCTTCGTGTATGGTGGCTGTGAAGGCAATGGCAACAACTTTGAGAGCCAAGAAAGCTGTGAGGATGCCTGCCCCGTGCCACGCATGCCGCCTTGCCGGGCCTGCCGTCTCAGGAGCAAGTTGGCGCTGAGCCTGTGCCGCAGTGATTTTGCCATTGTAGGGCGGCTCACAGAGGTACTGGAGGAATCCGAGGCAGGAGGAAGTAGCATCGCCCGCGTGGCTCTAGATGATGTGCTCAAGGATGACAAGATGGGCCTCAGGTTCTTGGGTACCAAGTATCTGGAGGTGACGCTGAGTGGCATGGACTGGACCTGCCCCTGCCCCAATGTGACAGTGGGTGATGGCCCACTGGTTATTATGGGTGAAGTGCGAGACGGTGTGGCTGTCCTGGACGCTGGCAGCTATGTCCGCATTGCCAGCGAGAAGCGCATCAAGAAGATCTCAGAGCTGCTAGAGAAAAGGGCCTGCGAGTTGCTCAACCGCTTCCAGGACTAGCCCCACCTACCTATCCCTGCCATCCAGTCCTCCCAGCCCCCTCAAATAAAAGTGTTTCCCAGAACTTGTGGCTGCTGGTGCTGAGCCTCCCAGAATTACCACTCTTCCCCCTTCCAGTCTGTAATCCAGCTGGGGTTCTGCCACCAAACTGGGGCTTTGGCTCTAGTCCAAGATCACCAGGGACTCCCTCCTGGGGAGCTTCCTGTCTCCCTGCAGGAGCACAGACCTGCACCAGGCCTGGAGGTGGGCACCACTTCGGGTGATAGGGCCATGCAGCCAGTTCAGTTCCTGAAGTTGCTGAAGCCAGTTCCTGCTCCAGCTGTCCCTGGGTCCTCTCCCTTCTCTGTTGCCCAAGTGGAACAGCAGGGCCCAGGACATCCCCAAGCCCTGACCCCACAGGCTAGACCCCTCCTGCCTCCAGGAATGGAGGCCTTCGGGAAAAAGCCTGCCCGCCTAGCACCACCAGAGGTGCTCCCAGGTGGCACAGTAGACTCAAGCAATAGGACAGCAGGAAGCACTTTATTCCCAGACTCTCAGCAGCCCTGTGGACACTGACCAAGAGCCCCCAAAATAGGCAGGGTTAGTCCCCATGGCCTGGTCTAGGGAGGCAGGGGCTGGCTGTCCCTGGGTTTGTCTCAGAAGAGGCCCACTGGGGACACAGGCGTGCAAGAGGAGGGGTTATTCTTTCCGAAAAATCAGGCACTTGTTGTTGGCTGGCATATCCACCTGGGAGAGATGCTTGGCTGGAGAAGCTGCCCAGGGTGACCACCCAGGCCCCCAGCCCTCCCACCTACCATCTTCTCCAGGAGCAGGCCGCTGGCGCGGCCCAGGTCCTCCAAGAAGGCTGTGTCCCGAAGCCCCCACTCTGGGTTCCTAGGGGAAGAGGTAGAGTTAGGAGGGTCACCCTGCTCACCTGCCCTCCCAGACAGGCCCCTCCTTCTCCCAGCTCTAACCTGCTTCTGAGGGTGAGGTCAAAGTCCACGTTACTCTGTGGAGAGATCTTCCCATTGACAGCATAGGGCTGTGGAGATAGTGCATAGCTCTGTCCACTGCCCCAGGGTCAGCTGTTCTTTAGTCGGCCACTGGGCAGACTGGCAGGCTGGTGCCCGGTGGATGAAAAGGACACACTGCTCCCCGTTCCCATGAGTCCAGGGGTGCAGAGAGACTTTGTGTGTATGTGTAAATTCCGGAGAGATAGGAAGGGGGAGAGAAAGAGAAACATTGATGGCTGCCTCCCAGCATGTGCCCTGACCGAAAGTGAACTTGGATGGCTCTTAAATTGGTCTGCTGGACAATACTTCAACCCACTGAGCCACACCAGCCAGGGCCAAGGAGACTGTTGGAGAGGGGGAGATCCAGGCCTGTTTCAGTGGTGACAGGTGATGGGGGAGAAGGTAACTGAAAATATTGAGACAGGAGTCCAGAAGGGAGGGGACAGCTGAGGCTGGCTGGAATCATCTGGCCAGGGGAGTTCCATCTGAGACAGGAGCACTCACCCCATAGGTGATGAGCAGTGCCTTGGGTTTGAGCAGGCGTCCTGCTGCTCTGAAGAGCCCCTGGGGAGGGGAAAGGCAGGATGGTGGTGAGGAAGTTTCTCCAGGCCTCCAAAAGAGCACTTGTCTGGGGCTGGAGACTCAACCTGATTTCTCCAGGCCTCAGTGCCTTATGAAATGGGGCAAGCCTGGCACCCGCTCCCTTCCAAAACAGAGGAAAGGGTGACACATGGGGCAGGTAGCTGGCCCTTGCTCCCACAGACCTTGGTGCAGTTCAGCGGGCTGATGTGGATCATGTTAATGCAGAGCAGCAGATCCAGCGACTGCGGCAGGATCCCGCCCCACTGCTCCCAGTCCCAGGTCACGTCCAGGTACAACGGGGACTTCACGTTGGACAGCCTCTGGGCTTGAGTGGTGGCCGAGATGCTGTCGGAGGGAAGCCCATGTGTGGGAGTGGCCTGCACACCTGTTCCCGACACCATCTGCAGCCCAGTTCAAAGCGGTCACAGTGGTGTGGGAAGCCAGGGTTCATGGACTGGGCCCACTTTCACCACGCGGGGTCCCGCCCTCCCCTCCTGCACCTGTCCAGGCAGCGCTGGTCCACGTCGGATGGCTGCCACTCAGCATAGGGGAAGGCCCGCGCGAAGTGGGCCGCATGCTGGCCGGAGCCGGAGGCCACTTCAAGCACGCGGACGCCGCGCTGGGCTGGATCCACGTACTGTCGCAGCACACGCAGAATAGGTTCCTTGTTCCGCTCGGCGGCCGCGGCTACCATCATGACCGCGCAGCTAGTCGACCAGGAGCAGTAGTCCGCTCGCTGCGACGCCCGGGAGTTGTAGTCCGGCGTCTCAAAACTCACCTCCATGGACTACAGTTCCCAGGAGGCCCGGTGCAGCGGCTTAAAGGACCGGCAAACCTATGGAAGGGTGGCGGGAGTGACATCTTTGGTGGGCACCCGGCGGAGAGTTTGGACCATTGGAGTGTAGACGCTCCTCAGCTCAGCACCCTCTCGCCACGAATACCCCAACATTTTCAGAGGACTTGCGACCCTGAAACTGTTGTTCGTGCTGCTCTGGAATGAATGGTTCCCGCATGCTTCCAATTTCCTGGTCCCGAAATTTCCGCGGTCTCCAGTAGTTTGTTTTTTGAGATGGGCAGGAAAAACCTAAAAGTGAATGAAGTGCGCCGCCCGGGAATCGAACCCGGGTCGCAAGAATGGGAATCTTGCATGATACCACTACACCAGCGGCGCCTGTTGCACTCAGCTCCGCTCGCGAGACTTAAGAGCTTATGATGCAACCTCTGTGGGCTGCAACACTGCTACAGTAGCTGTAGGGTCTAGTGTACCGAGGCCCTCAGCTAGGTAGGAGCTCCGTTCAACTGCGTCCGTCTCCCACACCTCCCCCCTGCATCCGTCTACGATAGTGGAAGTTCTCGCAGTGGCAGTGTCGCTTGGGCGCCCGGTGCTCGAAGGAAGGAGAGGGGATGAGAGAAGTGGTTTGTGGACTGCCGGAATTCTGGCCTACGCTATGGAAACCATGGCAACAGGGAGGTTGCCGGAGCCGAAGGGGGCGGGGGTCCAAGGCGGGTTCCTGTTGGGACGGAGCTTCCGGCGGGCGAGTATTCGGTTGGGCCGGGTGGTCCCATCTTGCAGGAACTGGTCAGGCCTGAAGGAGGGGTTTCTGTGATTCTCACGGTTTGTGTGGACCGTGGTCACACCGAGGTGACCAGCGCTAGCCCGGGGTCCGGGGATGTTGTGAGTGGTCTGTGACCCCTAAATCAAATCGGAGGCTGATTTGTATCCAGGGTCCTTCCTCGGTTTCAGCTTGGGGTTTGTGTCTCAGAGGAGCCCCTTTTTGCAGGCTGAGGGCCGTGCCCTGCAGTCAAGACCAGTTTATCTCCTTTGATGGGCAGATCTTCACAAGCGATACCCTCTAGCCGACGGCTCTCAGACCCTGGCCCAGACCCGAGCCTGGGATTTCCCGCCAGGGGCGTGCAGGGTCAGAGCAGGGGCCCTGGCGTGGGTCCGGGCAGACGTGGGGGGAACCTAGGGGCACGCGGCGTGCGGGTCCTGACGGGCCCCTGGGAAAGTCCCACTCAGCGGGCGGGCCTCCCGCCCTCCCGGAGGACCCGCTGGCATTCTGCGTTGTGAGCACTAGACTTCGTTCAGCGTTCTTTCTCATTTAACGATCTTGACTCGCTCTTTGCCTCACTTTCTCCCGGTTTGTGGGCGGAGCATTTTGCGTGTCTCGGAGTGGAGGAGAGGTGTCTCTCAATGCACATCCCTGCCCCTGCCCCTCACCTGTGACTAGTGACGGTCCCCTGCGGTCTCACTGCCTGAAACTTTGGCCACCGGGCCCCTCAACACTCCTAGTTCACCTGGAGGCACCAGCTTCCTGCTGGCTTCACCCGGGATTATTCCTTGGGCACCGGCCACCTCGTGATATCGTCAAATAATAAATATGTATTCCGTCTTTGTTCCAGCTCCTGACACAGAGCTCTTCAAACACTGGGATTTCTGGAGTGATGGAGTGAGAGGAGCACTTGGTAGGTAATAAGCCCCTTTCGGCCATACCCTGGGTTTATATCACTGAGGAGGTGACTCTTAGAGGATGAGGACTGGTTGCCAGGGGGACGCACCTTGTATTAGAGGGTGGGAACTTTCAGCCCTGCTCCTGACCTCTGGAGGTTAAGGGGCTGGAGACTGAACTGATCACCAATGACCAATGACTTAAGCGTGCTGTGTAATAGAACCTTCATAAAAACCTTAAGTGAAGGGCTGGGGAACCTTAGGACCAGCAAACACATGAGGCACTGGGAGGGCAGCGCTCCTGGAGAGGGCCCGGTGCTCCCACCCTTCCCGCACCTCCCCCTGCATCCGAGGTCTGCGGTTCCCCAGGTGTGTCCTTATGATAGGTCAGTAAGCGGAAGTGAAGCCTTTCCCTGAGTTCCGGGAGCCCTTCTGATTATGGAATCTGAGCAGGTCAGTTGTGGGAACCCCAGTTTATAGCTGGCCTGTCAGAAGCACAGAGAACTGGAGAATTGCTTGGTGATGACACATTTGATGTCAGAAGCGTTATATAGAAAAAGAAGTTTTCCTTTAAACCCCATGTCCATTTAGAGGGGGGAGGGCCTCAGACTGACCCATCTGCCTGCTTCCCGCATGTCATATGGGCTGCTTTAAGGAATTGCCCAAATGCCCAGCAACAATTTTGGCTTAATAGTACTTGATCTCAGGTCAATAACTACCTGTCGTGTCCATCACTCTAGGCTGGACACTGTGTGAGCTAATATCTGCCCTCAGCACTCACCAAGCTCAGCTTGGGACAGATGCAGCTGGACGAGGCTGGGTGGCAGCCTTTTCTGTAGGTGTGAGTGTGTGCATGTATGAGCTTATGTGAACATAGGCGAGCACATGTTTTCTGATCATCTTGGATGTGTGTCAGACTCACAGTGCCCACAGTGCAGCCCTCCCTCTGGTGTAGGCCTCAGGCCTCAACCCAGGGCCCGGATTCACTTCCTCCTTCAAGGGAAGCACAG